GTTTAATTAACGATCATTAATTAACTAATTAGCCCCCCCCAGCTGCTCTCAGCGGTCACGTGGCATCAGGGACCCTCAGCCATATGCTTGTCTTTGTCACTCGTCACTGAACAGCCGAAAAAAGGGGGAATCCACCCCAAAATTTGCACCCGGGGGGGATTTCGGAGCCTTCCCTGCTCTCCACGGACATAAGACAGAAAATTTAAGCTGAAAATCTTAAAAAAAAAGAGACATAAAAAGGGTGCTCACCTCGACAGGGGCTGTGGGGACCCCCAGTGACGGTTGCACGGCTTGAAAACGAGAGGAAAAAATGGTTAAAATGGTGATTTAGGAGCAAAACGACCCCCCTAAACCAACCCAGAGGACAAACTTCGAGTCTCTCATCCCTCCCGTGTGGGTCTAAACCTTCCCACGTGGGTTTAACTTCTCCTACAAGAAGATCTAAACCCTCCCTATGGAGTTTTAAACCCCCTCACGAGGGTTTTCCACCCTCTCAATGCGGTTTTAACCCCCTTAAAGGCCCTAAACCCATCCCCACCAGGGTTTAATGCACAATAAGGGGGGTCTAAAGCTCCCGCCGAGATTTAAAGGAGGGTCTCACCCCCCTCTCGATGGTTTAAATCCCCCCACTCGTGTCAGTGCCACTCAGAGCGTGTTCAGGAGCTTCTCCACCAGCCCATCAGCAAGAGAGAGTTCAGTGGATCATCCCCGCAGCACTGCTGCCTTTTTTAACTAAATCCAGCTTTTTACACCCTAAAAACCATGTTTAAAGCTCACCTCTCGCACAGGCGCCATTCTGCAGCCTAAAAAGCTGAAAACAGAACGAAAAGAGGCGTCAGTAACAGGAATGATGTAAACATCAAGCACCCAACCCGCAGGCCGGGGCGGGACGAGCCCTCAGAGAACTCAGAACTCTTCACCGCGTGGTCAGCACAGGTCTGTGAGAGACTCATCCCCGAGCAGCCCCCGCGGCCCGGCCACCCCCCTGAGCTCCGAGAAGCCCTGGAAGGACTCTCGGGGAAGCGTCGGCCCCTCCAGGAGCCCTCTTGGGGCGCTGTAAAATGGCGGCGCCCCGAGGCGAACAGGGCTGCCGAGCGCTCCCTCGCCGGCCCGGGGAGGGCGAAGGCGGCTGCCGAAGGTTCCGCAGCCCCTCAGAGATCCCTCAGAAGCCCCTCAGGGTACGGGCGGCACCGACCTCAGACTCACCTCTCGCGGTCGCCTCACAGACAAAATGGCCGCGGTGCCGCCTCGCGCGCGCTTAAATACAGCGCGGGGCATGCTGGGAAGGGGGGCGGGGCTTGAGGGGGAAAGGGCGGGGCAACGGGAAAAGAGCGGGAACGGGGGCGCGGAGGGCGC